ATCCTCTCAAGTTCATTCATTTCTTTTGCAATTGGGCAGCATTGTGCTTTATTGGTGAATTTGTACTTCGCAATTGGTCCGGGTCATAACACCCCCTGCTTTTCATCCTTTCTTCTCTCTTTCTTTTCTTCACCATCACCACCAGCAAAACCCAACCTTTAAAAAAAAAAAAAAAAAGAAAGAGCCTTCAGCAGAACCATAGGGTTCTGTTGGAGAAAAAAAAAAAAAAAAAAAAAAGCCTAACCTTGTAGCGTTGCTCCAGCTGATGCATCACATAGAAGCCCAGCAAGCCGCCTCCGAGCGTGCCCACCATGATCCGGATGTTTCCCGCCAATGTCATTTTTATTTTTACTTTATTTTTTTATTATTATTATTACGGATGGAGATCGGATCTTCTGTGCTGAGTACCACAGGGTCGTTTCGTATGCTGCCACTTGTACTCCTCTGGCTTCCTAAATCAGGCACTTACTAAATCGGGCGGGATGCCACATAGAGCTGTGCATCGTATGGTCCTCCAGGCACCACACAAGCTATCAACGGCCAGCAAAGTGCGCCAAGCTTTCATCCATGGATCGACCAGTCGATCAATCAATCAATCAATCAACGGCCAGCAAAGTGCGCCAAGCTTGGAGAGCAAAGCAGAGCATCGAACGTTCATCCCTCCATCTGTTCACATGCCTCTGCCTCAAATACGAAACTGCCATGAATCTTCACCTCATCCGACGTGTGGCATCGCCGATCTGGCATGGCACACACAAAATGTACAAGCAGGTAACCGGGAAAAAAAAAAAGAGAGGAAAAAAAACAACGAAGTCTTAATAACAATAAAGATTTGGGACAATTCACGTAACTCTAGCTCTTCTTTTATTTCTTTGAAAAAAAAAAAAAAAAACCGAAAAAATAAAGAAAAGTGCTAATCAGAATTATAAATTTTCCATTCCGATGATTAACCAATCTATTAGACTATTCGTTGATGTCACTGGATTAAGAAGAAAAGAAAAGGAAAAAAAAAACGGAAAGCCTTATTTCTGATGGCTTTCAAATTTGAAAATGAAAAAAAATGAAAAAAAAATGGAAAAAAAAATCGAAAATGCCTTTTCGGATACTGCTAATCAGCATTTTTTTTTTTTTTTAAGAAAGTTGCAGTTTTTATATTATAAATATATTATTGAAACGGTATTCACCAGTTCGAAGTAGCTGATGTAGGACCCAGGGTTCGATCCCTAGTTCCCCAACTTACCTGTGTACAATACCTGTGACAAC